TCTGTTCTAGTTTGCTGGACAGAAAATGTCACTATATATCTTATCAGTGTTATTAAAGCCGACCAGGACTGGCTGGCCGGACCGGTAAAACCAACATTTAGTTGCCAGTTTGGTCCGATACATGCCAAAATCTGCGGCGGTAAAAAAGGCCTATCGGCAGCGGCCTAAATGGTTAACTGTTCAAGCTACTCGAACCGTACGATCAGTTTTTGCCTTTTGTCAGAAAATAAAAACATTAAATAATAAGTTAGCTTAGAAAGAAAGTCGCCACCATCTTTCTCTATTCCTCTGATGGACTTCCTCGGCCTCACCAGTGTCGGTGGCTTCCTCCATGTCCATCCCACTGTCGGTGACCCAACTCTGGCGATCTCTTGCCATTGCAGCTTGCTCCTCTTCTCGCGCCGGCGTCGGCAGCTCCCACTACTCTTCTGCACTATGTCTATTGTTCTTTTTCAGGCCGGTGCTCGCTTCACCTTCGACATCCCCTTGCTCTCTTGCTAGTGAGAGGAAGAAAGGAGACGAACAATGGACCGCTCCTCGGCGTTGTGGTCCCCGATCCGTGGCGCGGATCGCTCCGCTGGCGCGCGGTCAGCCCTCCAATTGTTGCTCCATTCAACGGTCTTGAAGACCGTTCCGCAGAATAGGTAAACCGCACCTTCCTAGTGAGTTTCCTGTGCTGACGTGGCTTGGAACGCACCCCTAAGGTGCGGTTTATAAGTGAAACGCACCTCTGGGGTGCGGTTTACTTATAAAACGCACCTTAGGGGTGCGTTCCATTAAAATTGGTGCTATTTCTGTCAATTTTTTCGGATAGGTGTTAGTTTTGTAAGTTTTTTTAAACGTGCTACTATTTGGAAAATCCCAACACTGGAATGAGAGGAAGAGGATGAATTGAAAGAAGAAGAATGAGATATGAACCGCAAGAGAGAGATGGAGAAATGAAATAGAAAAGAAAGGGAAAAAAGAATAGAAATTGAGATAGATGAAAAAATGGCTTCCGACTAAGTAGAATGGATGAGGTAGGGTGTCTAATGGCAATATATATAATGTAAAATTCAAAAGTGGTACCTGCAAACTAAAATTCATTTTAGTTATTAAATTATTAAATTGCTATCTTATGTGTTTTCTACTTATGATATTATTGTTTATAAAATATCGGTTTTCTGACGGTTTTTAACAAGTTTTTATCGGTTGGGCCCTTATAGTGTGAGTCGTTCACTATACTCCGGTTTGGTTCTGGCAACACTGTATCTTATCAATCAACTTCGCACTCCATCTTATTTTTCCCTTTGTTCTATCCAGTCAAGCACTAGCTCGAGCTTTTTTAGTAGAAGTAGTCAAAATTCATCCAATTAAACTAACATCGGAACTTTCCGGTCATTCGCCAATTAAAAACTGACTACATATGTCACAAAGGTCAAAGTTTTGGTTATGCATATGTATTTTGCAAGGATTGAAAAATCATACCGTACCGACGGTTCAACCAGAAAAACCTTATACCAGAAGCAAAACTGGTAGGCGGAATGAAACAGTTGAACCATTGTTTCAACATACATTACCTTACCGCTGACTTTTGTGGTACACCTTTTCAATCCTTGGTATTTTGTCTAAACTAAACCACAGGTAGAATTCAATATTTATTAATCAAATCAAGGTTACTTGAGTTTTGATTTTAGGATTAGTTTCATTCTATAAGACATTACTAACTTCAAATAAAATATAAAGCATCAAATTCCAAATATGTTTGTAGTGTTTAACTAAAGAAATTGCAACAAATATGATGTATTCTAGTTGCTTTTTTTATATGAGTGATATAGATTTATCCTTTGTCGTCTATTTGTTTATAAACTAATAATACTTTTTCTTTATTTGAGTGACATGAGTTCAAATCTCAATAATCAAAATTTTAATATACAATTACTAAATTGAGCTTCCTAGAATAGCTCTTAGCCACGAAATTTGAAACGAGGGTTATAGTTTTCTCATTCAACTTCAGAACTATGAGTTTTGTTTAATTTAAAGAACGACAACAAATATGATCTAGTGTGGTTGGTTAAATGCTTCTTTTTTATTTTGGTGACATAGGTTCCAATTTCAATAATACACACTTTTTAATATGTAAACAAATGAGATGCAATCACTAAATAAATCTTTCTAGGCCACAAAATTTGAAATTGAGGTGACACTTTTATTTTTTCAGTTACAAATATATGTGTAGATAGATGTATTTATTTTTTATGAATATTAAATAATTTTGATTTGTTAATTTTGTTGATCACGTTAATATTAAATTCAAATGTGTATCACCAAATATATATAGTAGAATTGAGAGTAGTTTTTCAGTATTTCAAATTTCCTCTAATGAGAGCGAAAGTAGAAAGGGAAAATTTGTCTTTACAATTGTTAGTCTTAGAAAAAAATACATCAGTCCTGAGATTTCAACCATGGTCTGTATAAATAAAGATATGAATCATTACAAATTACACTAAATAAATTTGATGTATCTTTTTAAACTAAAAATATACAACAACCTAAAATCTTAAAAGAAGATTACCTTTTCACTACGGTAACTAACCCACTAACTCTTACGTAAGTATTTCTTCAGTGATTGATATTTTGATTTTTTTATTATTATTATTTAATATGGTTTAAATGATTAATTTAGCTACTGGGTAGAAATACACATTTCATATAGTTTGAAAACTTCAAATGTACTTCATAAGTATGTCATAATCAAATAAAATATATACCAACGGGTCGAACACCAAACTAGTATTAATTATACAGGTGTGACAGAATAATATGGATTGGAGATGGACCGAAGCAGAGCCAATATGAGATAGGAGAGAAAAAAACTATTCGACAATCTCTACATCTTAGCAGAGTTGCAACCGAGCCGAATCGAGTCGCGTTTTTGCGTAGCTTGAGCTCGACTCGTTTATAAATATTTCAGCTCGAGCTCGGTTCAAACTCAAATTTTGATAATCCAGCTCGAGCTCGGCTCGATTAAAAATGATTCAGCTCAAGCTCGACTCGATTAAAAATGATTTAGCTCGAGCTCGACTCGGTAGACCTCGATAAATGCTCATTAACACAGCTTGTCAAGCTGAGTACAAGCTCGACTCAAGATGAACTTGATTTGAAATAATTTTTGCTGAAAAATGTGTACACATAAGAATTTAAATGATAAAAAGAACACTAGAAACTAAAAATAACAGCTAACTTCCATACATATACAGATTAACAAGATAATGTTCATGTTTAGAAGAATAATTAATCATTCTACAAGCTCTAAACAAGCCAGCTAGCGAGCTTAGCTTAACAAGCCACCGAGTCAAGCTAGGTCACGAGCTTATCAAGCTCAGGACTGTCTAGCTCAAACTTGGCTCATTTACTAATGGGTCGAATGAGTTTTTTCGCGTCGAACGTTGAGTTGCTCGCGAGTGACTTGACTCATTTGCAGCCCTACATCTTAGCAATCTTTACGGTGCAAGCATACAAGCTTTCCCCTCCTTAACTAAGATAATATCCCTAGTGACGAGAACATGAGCGAGAACTACTCACCAGTCGGAAACAGGGCGGTATTTCGCAATTTTCTGGTTCAACTTAATATATCGGTCGGTGCACTAAATGGAAAATTTTGCTTGTACTGTTCCGGATTTGGTTCGGTTTTTGGTTTTTCCAGTTAGACCGGCTGGTCCTGTCCGATATCCTAATCCATGGTTTAAACTTTAAACTACTTGTGGGGAAGACATTTTGTACACGTGGGATGAGATATGGTCACAACCCCCTTTGTGGGTTGTGAGAATGACTACCCACTTTCTAGCCATTGTATACGCTCTCTCTCCTGTCTCTTTTTTTCTTTTCAAATTGATGGTTAGGATTAGAAGAAGGGTATTTTTGGAATGAAAAAAATATTACCACACATTATCCTTTCTCATTTTCTATATAATCTATTTTCATTAAAAAAATAACTTTCCCCCTCACACATGTTCTCTCTCCACTCTCTTCCCTCTCCCCAGAATCCTAGCCGCCTCCTCCCTCATGTCACTGTCGCCTCCATCTCTCCCTCCTGCCGTAGGCGTCGCGCCCTCTGCCTCCCATCACTACCGTGCCATCATGCTCTCCCTGTCGCAGCCATGTCGCCTCCCTCCACCTCCTGTCGCTGCCATCTCTCTCCCGTCGTCCTCCTCTGTCGCCGCCCTCATCCAATGTCGTCGCTGCCACAGAGGTAATGACCTCTCCCCTGCCTTCTCCTTTCCTCTTTAATTTTTTTTTTCAGATCTGTTTTTTTTTCTATGTTAGTCTCTAGTGGTACTAATCTTTGTCTAGTGGTAGTTGTAGCGTACCACTACTCACTGGTAGCGGTACCAGTGGTAGCGTAACACCACTCACTGGTAGCGGTACCACGTACCACTACCACTGTAGCGTACCACTAGACATTATCAGTATCACTAGCGCACTGACGGAGTGTTTTTTTTGCAGATCGTCGGAGCGAGTCTGATTGGAGGATTTCACTGGGAAAAAGTCTGCCTGTCGGAGAAAATTTGGCGATCGGAGCGAAGAGACTGCCGGAAAAGGAAAAGAGAGATATATTATATTAATTGTAGGATTTAAATTAAAAAAATATGCATTTAATATTGGTTTTTAATTTTCATTGTGTAATTAATAAATTAATTTTTTTTATCATACTCAAATTGCCTTGGATGTGAAAGTCACATCCTAGAGAAAGTGACACTATCTCATCCCATGCATACGTGTACCCAGATGATCCAAAAAGAGGTACCAACTGTCAACCCGACGCCGCAGATTACAAGTTAGCGCGGAGCCTTGCTGAAGTGGTCAATTCACAAGAGAATGGAGGGTACTTTGGGCACATCACTGCAGAAAGAAAATGAAATGCCGCTAGCAGCCGCGTGAAAAATGAGTAAAAAATTTCTGTTCGTGCAAAACTGGGATAAGATTATAAGAAGAAGAAGGGAAAAGGAAAACGGCCAAACAGAAAGAAAAAAAAAACCAAATTACAAGTTTCCCAGTCCAGTAGTGCTTTGTAAGTTTTCCAGTCCCCTTTTCCGAGCCTCCGTTGCACCTGGTTGACGAAGGAAAAAGGCAAAGCTCCTCCAGCTGAGGCAATTTCGCTCTGTTCGCGAAGTTCATTTCCACCTCTCTGTATACGCCGGAGAAGCGAAGCGAAGCGCAGGCAATGGCGTCTTGTGGCAAGAAGCTCATCAACGACCCCAATGGTTCGTACATTTTCAGCATTCCTTCCGTTTTTCAGCAATGTTCGCTGTGGATTGTTCATTTCTTTCGGTTCCTTAGTAGTATTTCCTTCCTTTTCCCTAGCTCTGTGTAAGGATGCAAAGAAAACGAAGGAAAACTGTTGCCGTTCTTTGGATGATTTCTTTTACGAAGTCGGTCAAGGGCCAAACTGTTCCAAGTGTGCAAGCTGCTTTGTATTGTACTTGAGTTTCTGCATTAATCCTGAATTTAGGGTGGGGATTTGGTATCACTGTTCGAAAGTTGAATCGTGCGTTTATTGAAACGAGGACGTAATTCTGTACAAAGTAAAGTTTTAGTACATTGGACTATTCTCTTGACTCTGCGTCTTGCCAAGCAATGTGAAATGGCAAGCACCTGCGGTCTTGGATCTTGTTTGGATAATAGTTCTTGGTATGCTTTATGCACTAGTTACTTAGGGTTAGGCTTGTAGATGCTTAACACGGAGTTAGAAACTACCGAATTAGCTGGTTCATCATGCCAATTTGTCCTGATACGGATATGGTACCTCATCTTGAAGTGTTCGCTTGTTTCCGTTTCATTAACTGGCCGATTGTGCATGTGATGCACTAAACCTGTAGTTGCAGAAAATGCAAGTTCAGCTTTGTTTTCAATTATGTGGATTATGACCTGGATATTTCATTTTTCTTAATCCATGGTTGCAGATGTCGTGACAGAGTTTATCGAGGGTCTTGTGGAGTCCTATCCTGGGATGCAGTATCTGGATGGTTTCCCAGAGGTGAGTGGGTGGTTCAATAGGAACTTCATTTCTCTTTCAAAGTGGTGCTCATTAAATAAAACTTAGTCTTCACTTTTCACTTGTGAACTGCAGGTCAAGGTCGTCTTACGTGCTGATGTTGCTGGTGCCAAAAATGACAAAGTTGCAATCATATCAGGTTCATTACATTAGAGAGTGTTTCAGTTCTCTGTTCTGTTTCCGCAGCCTGTAATACTAGTCTTGAAGTGGCCGATATGTCCCCAACCATGCTTTAAATTAGAGTAGTTGCTTTTCTCTTCTTGCAACACAGACAACATTACCTCTAGAGCGAAAAGATCTAGCTCTTCATCATTGAGGACTGAGCTGGTGAAGAAGTATATTTGTTCTTATCTGCAATTAATTGCTGTGAAGTTTACATGCATGTTGGGTTGTTTCTCTGGTTGGGGGAAAATGTCAGTAACCTCTTAGTCTATACATCCTGAATCCTTGACCCATGTGCAAAGGACTTATAATTTTGATAATTTAACCTGGGTGGTTTGCTTTCTCATTTGCAAGGACTAGCCAGTTGCTCGTGTACCATAATGTGGAATAAAATCATTCCTGCTTTTCTTTTTATATTTGCTTTTTGCTTGCTCTTGAGCTATTCCCTCATGTTCACAGCTTCCTCAGTTAAGTTAACTTAAGATAAAATTCACTGCATTTACGTACTTATGGAAGTGAATGAAGTCATTCCTGCTTTTCTTCTTATATTTGCTTTCTTTTTGAGCTATTCCCTTGTGTTCACACAACTTCCTCAGTTAAGTATGTTGGAGACGGTTAACTTCAGTTCAAATTCATTGCATTGACATACTTTATGGAGTAGGAAATGTTCCATGTTTAGCATAGAGATAAAAAATTATAAACGACAAGAGGAAAAAATGGAGATAAAGTTAGGTTAGTTATGATGCTCCATTACATTTCATCCTCTGCAGAGAATTGGGAGAGATATGCACTGTTCATCCTTATTCAATGAGATAATGGCTCCAGATTCTCATCATGTTCTATTGCAGTTTAAAATACTTTGAGAATTTCCGATTGTGATGGCTGGCCAATAGCCTGATTTCCATCTTTTGCAACAGAAATGTGTAAATATCCAACAATATGCATGTGAATGAACTATATTTGTGTTGCCTGACATAGGTGGTGGAAGTGGCCATGAACCAGCTCATGCTGGGTTTGTTGGAGAAGGGATGCTCACGGCTGCTGTATGCGGAGATGTGTTTGCATCTCCGCAAGTTGATTCAATCCTAGCTGTATGTTGTATATATAATAGAATATACAATTGATAGTTCCCATCTTTGAAATGATTCTGCTCTAATATGATTCAACTTTAGGGCATCCGAGCTGTAACCGGTCCCATGGGATGTCTTCTAATTGTCAAGGTATCATTTCTGTGAATCAAAGCTGATAATGAAGCTATTGTATTGGTTGTGAGACTTTAACGTATAAGAAACTGAAGGAAAGTGAAAGAAACTATCAAATGGATGCTGATTGCTGATCTTGACCTTGGGGAAGATATATGATTAGTGATATCTTTGTCAAGACAGAATTATACCGGTGACCGTCTGAATTTTGGATTGGCTGCTGAGCAGGCAAAATCCGAAGGTTATAAAGTTGAGGTAGTATTTGACTTACACGGTCTTCTTTTCATTTGTTGGACAAAAACTGGCTTGTCCGAAGTTCATTAATTACTCTGATTTTGCTTTGCAGTCTGTAATAGTTGGAGATGACTGTGCTTTACCACCACCACGAGGCATTGCTGGCAGAAGAGGTTTGGCAGGGACTATTCTAGTACATAAGGTCACAATCTCTTTCTTTCTCCATCTTCCTGCCCACCCTCATCCCTCCCTTCTATGCTAAAAGGAACAAGCACTCAGCATTTTTATAGTTTCCACTCCTATTGTGTGACGGGATGTTGTGACCTGGAGGGATAGTGTCTGGCTGTTTGCTTCTATTCTGGTGAATTTCTGTGTAAATGAAGTTGGGTATTCTAGTGTAAGAAGGTTAAATCTTGTATTTTGTTCTTTGTGGAAGGTTGCTGGTGCTGCTGCAGCCGCTGGACTTCCTCTTGAGGATGTTGCTGAAGAAGCAAGGCATGCATCTGAATTAGTTGGAACAATGGGTGTCGCATTGTCAGTGTGCACACTGCCAGGGCAAGTTACTCCAGATCGTCTAGGCTTGGGAAAAATGGAACTTGGGCTTGGCATTGTGAGTGATTTAGCCTACTTCACCAATCTATTCGATCAAATGTGTAATCAAACTAAATAAATGTCTTAAGCTGGTGGTTGCTTTTCTTTGGGATAATTTGTTTTTCTTTTTCTTAAGGCCACATGGTTGTCCTGTTGCCTTCCATACTTTTTTACTAAAATATCCTCCATAATTAGCCTCCTCCCCTCCCCCTCATCATGGTTAATTAATATTAGTGGAGCTTCACCATTTTTTCCCATCCTTTTAATCTGTGTACTATTCTACATTTCCAGCATGGTGAACCTGGTGCTGCTGTGGCTGACATTCAGCCTGTTGCGGTTGTGGTCTCTCATGTTCTTAAGCAAATTCTGTCTCCGGTACGCTTCAAGAGATCATGCTTGGCTAGTTATCTTTCATCAAGTGTGAGCAAGATAGTCTTCATAAATCTGAAAAACCAGTCACTGGAGTGCAAGTGCTGACTGTTTGAAAATTCTGCATTGATTGTTCATACTAATAAAAAAATAACTAATTTGAATTTATTCTATTTGTGTATCCATATAGGAAGTCGTTCATTGAACGTAAAAATATTAAGTGCCAAATTTCTGTAAAGTTTGTGAGTATTGAGATGATGTGTTTTGCATTTGTGTATAGCCTATTGTGGTAAGAGTACTATTTTTGTAGTCTGCTACTTTATAGTGAATAATTTCAAATGATATTTCTATCATCCTTCCATTTGTAACATCTCAGTGTTCCAGGAAACTAATTACGTTCCAATTACCCGGGGCAGTCGAGTGGTGCTCATGGTCAATGGGTAGGCTTTTGTATTCCTGGTATTTTATGTTTAATATCGAGCACCCCTTTTATGTGAGACTGTGCTGCTATTTATGATCTTCATAATGTTAAACTTGCTACCACATAACCTAGATAGTTAGAATCTGGGTTATTAGTTCTTCTAGCAGACTACTTAGGCTTCGACCTAGGTTTTGCTCCGTCCCCTCTTCTTGTAGAGTAAACATCCTTGCTGTTTAGTTCCCATGACATCTTCATCTGTAATGTGTCACTGCAGATTAGGTGCAACCCCTGCCATGGAGCTAATGATTGCCGCCGGGAAAGCAGTCCCTCAACTGCAGCTGGAACATGGTTTGGCTGTAGAGAGAGTGTACACTGGGTCGTTTATGACCTCTCTTGACATGGCAGGTATGACTCTGACGAAACCAGGAAATTTAAATGAATTTTATACGTATTGCTAATGGCTTAATCATTTCAGGATTTTCAATTACTATAATGAAGGCCGATCAATCTATTCTGCAACGCCTCGATGCTGCAACTACGGCACCATACTGGCCTGTCGGTGTAGATGGTCTGTGATATATTTCAAATATATCTCCAAAGTTTTTCCTTTTACATCTTATCCTAGCTGCGCAGCTCCTATTCGTTTCTTATGCATAAGGTTGAGTGATGTGATGATTCTGTGATTCAATTAGTGACCTGAATTGGTCATGTTTTCTGGTAAAACTGCTCTGAAGCTGTTAAATTTAGAGCTGATTAGAATGTTCAAGCAGGAAATTTGCCATGTCCTACCCAAACTTGGTTGAACATACTCTATTGTTCTCATGGATATCCTTATATATAGGTAATCGTCCACCAGCAAAGATACCTGTTCCACTTCCTCAGTCTCCTTCAGCTTAAAATGACGTGGTATGTTCGCATTTTCTCTATATGGAAAGTGGTATTTTCATTTTTGTTCTCAAGAGTCTTGAGTTTTATTTACTGAACAATTTGGTCCTTCATTAAAAAGTGTTTTCCCACAAAACAAAACAAAATGCGAAAGGACATGTAACTCACACTATAATTAGCGGTATTATTTTGTGCTACTGTTGTCATTTGATGGGGCTCTAACAGTAGGGATCTAAGTGTTCATTTCTTAAAAACTATGGTCCAAATTGTTAATTTCACTAACCCTCGATAGGCTTTAACATTGGCTTCAGGAAATTTAACATCGGATGGATGTCATCATCCATGTTTAGTTAGTCCCTTCCGGATAAGTAAGAAGGGAAAGTTGATTGTGTCCTTAATTTTTCTGTTCGATTCCTCTAAATTTTGGTATACTGTCCTGTTGCAATAGTTTCAAGTTCAACTTGAGTAGTTATTACCAAGTATGCCCAAAGTGAGTAGTTTGCCTTGAGATGCAACTGCAACCTAGTGAGTTGTGTTTATTAGTAATGATTTTCTGATTCCACATTATGGCATCTATTAGTCCTTGTGCCGGCCAGTTCAGCTGAGCAAACAAGGGATCCTTCTTGAGGTGGCTATTGAGGCAGCAGCAACTGCAGTTGTAAACCTTAAGGATCCATTAAATGAATGGGACAGCAAAGTAGGCGATGGTGATTGTGGATCAACTGTAAGTAATTCTTAACAGATTTGATTATATTTTTTGCAAAATCATATTCAAGTATTTTCTATAACATGGAGAAATTCATCATTCTTGCAGATGTACAGGGGCGCAACAGCAATTCTAGAGGATATGAAGAAATAGTAAGTTGTCTTAACTATGAGGCTAGGAAAAGCATTGGATGATGAAATAGACCTTGTCATCTTGAAACTCAAGTCTGTTTCGGCTTGTTCTTTGATTTGGTTTTCGTTGGTAGAAATCTTTGTTTTGATTTGTACTCAAGCATCAAGACAATTCGATATTTTCCTTGTTGGTTTTCTTGAAAATTTTCTTTTCAGAAGGTGATTTTAACTCGTTCCCACAGAATAAGTGCCCATCCCTTTATGTGATATTACAACCCTAATGTATTTGAGCTACTTTTCAAATCAAAAGTTTTCATGACATATTTCTTGTTGATATTTGAGCATTGTACTTGATTAGGTTTCCCATATATGATTGGTAGAATAATTCTGGAACATAATCAGAATGTTTGTCAATGGAATAAGCTTTGCTTCTTACACTGATAAGCCACCTTCTTTTATTGCCAGCTATCCTCTAAACGACGCTGCTGAAACAGTAAATGAAATGGGATCATCTATTAGCAGAGTTATGGGTGGAACAAGTGGGATAATGTACTTCGTTGGCTTCATTTATTTTTTCCCGTTCTTTCAGTTATCAAAATTTTCCCATTTAAGCAACCGACCTCCATTTGGCATTTTTAACGCAGATACACTATACTTTGTAAGGCAGCATATGCATACTTGAAAGCAAAAGCACAACCAGATGTTACATCACATCAGTGTAAGCTGAGATTCCTAATCCAATAGTCCTTTGTTCAACGCCCATAACCCTAACTCTCCTTTCTGGATCAGGGGCTGAAGCAATGGAAGCTTCAATAACTGCAGTGAGTAAATATGGTGGTGCTATTGCTGGTTTTCGGACATTACTAGATGCTCTTATTCCTGCTTCACAAGCTTTGCAGCAGGTGAAATGTCAAAACTGAGCCTTGCAAATTTGCTCCTTGTTATGCTTATGGTTAATAACAATCAAACTATTCTACAACAGAGTTTAAAGGCCGGGGAAGATTCTGTCACTGCCTTTGTTCTTTCTTCAGAAGCAGCCTTGGCTGGTGCTGAATCAACCAAACTGATGCAAGCACAGGTAACTTAGAAATAAACAAATGTCCTATGAACTTCTTCCAATCACAACTTCCTCTGCTCATTACTTTCTTGTTGCACATAATTGTGATAATTTAAACAATATGGCCCGTATAATTTAGAACTTTGGTTTACATGCTCTTATTTTCACCTCCCAACACAGTTTCCACTTTGTATACAATTCAAGTATTCTGATGCAACAGTAATTGCAGGCTGGGCGTTCGAGTTATGTGTCACCTGAGATAGTTGCCTCAGTTCCGGATCCAGGAGCTATGGCTGCAGCTGCCTGGTACAGGGCGGCAGCACTGGCTGTCCGCAACACACTGGAGAGTTCGTTATCTGCAGCTTCATCTGCTCCATAGCAAATCAGATTTCTCTTTTACGTCCACTGTCTGGGATCGTTTACTAACTTTCTGTGAAGGAACCTTATACACTCACACCTCCGGCTTCATGCTTAAGCTCTCCGCTTCATGTCTTTTTCCCCCCATAGAAAGCTGAGAGAGCGATGTCCCCTCCTCTGTTTCCCATGTTTGGTGCGTTGCAGAGTTTCAATACCAGCTTTGTAACTGTGATCGGTATGTTTGGAAGTCGAACAATATCGTATCCTAAGCCTATGCTTCCTTTGTCATTGTAGTTTGGGTAAATAGATCCCACTAGGATCATTACCTGGGCGTGTCTAAGCCTATCACAGGGGACAGCTTCAATACGGAAATGATGTCTTGGAAGGGCATAATCTGGATGGTGGAAATAGGTGAATTTATCATAGTTATTTATTATTAGTAATTAAACAAGAATTAAAAGTACACTATTACAATCGAATAAACAGTTCAAAGCTTGATAAATGAAATGACAATAGAGTGTTAATTTATCATAATCAAGGCTAGTCGTTACCTCGTAAAGATCTTCAAGTCTTGAATATCTTTGTGGCCTTTATTTAGGAGTTTCACTGAAAATCCATTTTGTACTACAGGTTTTCTGTGATTGGGAGGAATTGGTATATGTGTAGTTGTATTAGGTACTTCGTCACTTTAATCTGCTCCAAGCTTTTAGGGTGCTTGCTTCCAAATACTATTTGGTGGTGGTCTGTTCAACACATAGACTGCACAATCAACAACTACAACCCATATCTCCATTAAAAAATTATGGCTTTTCAACATGCTTCTCACCATGTTGAGGACAATTCAATTCTTCTTTTCAACAACTCCATTTGACCGTGGGACTTGAGATTGAGAGAAAGAGATGAATACCATTTCCCTTACAGAATTTTCTAGAAAAACTATAGCATGAATTCACCCCCTCTATCTATCGGATCTCATTGTCATAATGTAACGCCACTCTCATTGTCCACGAGCTACTTGAACTTCTAGTACGCTTCAAACGTATTTGATTTCTGCCTCAAGAAGTAAACTTAGGTCTTTCTACCATAGTCATCAATGAACAATAAGAAGTATCGATTTTTGCCCAGCAATGTTGGCATGATTTGTTCACAAAGATCAGCATGGACAAGCCCAAGAAGTGTTTTGCTCTTAACAAGGATTCCTTCGGAAAACTTGTCTTAAATGATTTCCAAACTAAACATCCTTCACGTAGCTAGCCAGGATGATTGATGACATGTAGACCATGCACCATTTTCTTCTGTCCTAGTAACTTAATGCCTCTAAAATTTAGACGACAAAATCTTATGTCATAGCCAAGTAGTATCCTTCACACGTGCTTTCAAGAAATTTGCCACCTTGGCCTGAATGTTCAATATGAACATTCTGTCTATCATCATTGGAGCTTTGGATATAAACTACTTATTTTCATTTAATTGCTCTAGCTGACGATTTTCCTTGTGAATTTCATTATTTTTCTCCAAAAGTTGTTTCAAACTCAAGTTATTACTTGCCATGTCCGTAACATAGTAAACATCACATATAATTTGATACGAACCATTTTTCAATTAGATAAAATTGTTCTTGTCCTCTTGATAGGAACCTTCGAGGAGACTCCAAATATCACATTTCCTTTCAATGATTCCTACAGCTCCACAAATATATTTCTTTTGTCGCACATGTAGTTTCTTGATGCACTATCAAGATATCACATGTTGTCATCAAGTCTTTCGTCTCCTTGATAGGACAACACCAATGTGCCTTTGACTCCATCTTTCACGTTGTTTGATGTTTGCTCCACATCTTTAGGAAGATTCTAACACTTTGACGTATAATGCCTGTATTTCGAGCAACTATATCATTGGCTGTTGAATTTATTCGATCCTCTTACACATCCACGACTTCTTCCTTTAGTGGACATTTTATTGTTTCTCATGGCATTTTCCTGCATCTTTGGCCTTGCCCTTTGTAGTTGCCCGTTGCCACTTTGATCTCTACCTCGACCTTCATTGAGACCTCCTCCTTGGGCACTTCCCCCCCCCCCCCCCCCCCCCCTCTTTAAGTTGCAGTCTTTGTTTCTAGGATTTGCTCAAACGTTTATCAATTCCTTTTATCCAATCTTTCCTTTCTTGCTTGTAATGATTCAGTGACTTCATCGGTTGCCATTTACGACACATCCTTAGCTTCCTCCATGACCACAAAGATATTTTTTTATTGAATGGAGAAACATCTGAGCAAGTCCTAGAATAAGCAGGGATTGTCATTTACAACACATCCTTTTTGAGTGGGTAGTATCTCAAACTGGTATCATTTTAAGGACTCTAATAAATACATAAACTCGTAATATTGTTTGTATTATTTATAAATAACCAATAATTAACAACCAAAATGTAAACTTCTCATTAAATCCGAGTTAATGTCGGTTCCGCTTTTGACCATATTTCTTATAGAAGCAAAATCACACGATTGATCATTCATTACTAAGCGGGTTAATTGCAAGGATGGTCACTGGGTTTACTAAAACCGTTCATGTTTGGTTACTGCAAATATTTAATTTCATTCATGGTCACTAAGATTAGTTCAATAGTTCAAGTTTGGTCACTCTCCGTTAGTCTCCGTTAGTTTTTGCTGATGTGGCAGTCAACTATTATAGTTGACCGTTAAATAAGTGACGTGGCCATTAAAAAAATAAAAAATAAAAATATTTAAATATTTACAATTTCCACCTCATTTTACAACTATTAAAAAATAAAAATAAAACTTACCTCTGCCCTCCTCCTCCTCCACTGGACCACCCCCTTCTTTCCAAAACCCAGCTAGCAATGGTGTCGCTGTCCCCCTTCTCTTCCCTCCTCCTCTTCCTCTTCCTCCTCCTCCAGAGAAACCATGACGCTCAATACGAGCGCATTGGGGGAGACGAAGCTGAAGAATCTCGCGTTCGGGTGCGGGTTCCGGGTCTCGGGTCCCAGCATGACGGGTCGGAGCTTCAACGGCGCCCAGGGAGTAATGGGGCTGGGGAGAGGCCCGATCTCGTTCTCCTCTCAGCTGGGCCGCCGTTTCGGCTATAACAAATTCTCCTACTGCCTCCGAGACTACACCCTCGCCTCGCCGCCGACCAGCTACCTCATGATCGGCGGCTCTTCTCATTCTCAAGCCCGAAACGTTTCGAGTACGGGTTCGATGTGTTACACGCCGTTAATCGTCAAACCACTGTCCCCAACATTTTACTACATCGGAATCCGGAGCGTATCCGTCGATTTGGCCGCCTCCACCACTCTCTCCTCCCTCACGAATTGCCTGTCCATCAGATCCGGCTCTTCCCTTAAACATCCAAAAAAATAGCACTTTTAATTACACTAAGGGGACGATTTGAGAGTGGGGGAAAAATTAATTAGCTTTGGAAAACTTCACTACTTCCGGAAAAGCCTGACGAGGTGGCCGTAGAGGTAGAGGGAAGTGACGACCGCCATGCCGATCCACGCCACGACGGTGACGAAGTTAAATTTGTAGACGTCGAACAGAACCCAAGTCGCCGACGCGACGGTAACGACGAGCGCGCTCCATACGGGGCGCCTCCACAGAATTATGTCACCCAACGTGGCGGCGGGGACCGTGGCCGACGGGAAAAACGGGGTAGTACTAGATTCGGAAGTGAGTGGCAGGGGAGGAGGGAGGTAAGTTTTATTTTTATTTTTTAATAGTTGTAAAATGAGGTGGAAATTGTAAATATTTAAATTTTATTATTTTATTATTTTTTTAATGGCCACGTCACTTATTTAACGGTCAACTATAATAGTTGACTGCCACATCAGCAAAAACTAACGGAGACTAACGGAGAGTGACCAAACTTGAACTATTGAACTAATCTTAGTGACCATGAATGGAATTAAATATTTGCAGTGACCAAATATGAACGGTTTTAGTAAACCCAGTGACCATCCTTGCAATTAACCCATTACTAAGCACACTAGTCGTACAAGCACAGAAAAAATCTGAAACTACAAGACTTGCAAAAAAAAAAAAAATTCCAAAAATACAATGGATATGAAAATATTTCCCCAAACACCAAATTTGTTGCACAGTGCAACAGACTAGTTTGTCGTTCGCGTCAAATACCGGTGATCTAGTGTGTTTTCTAACATATGTCGCTATCATTTTGTGTCCGTTATTTAGATTCGTTGACACTTGAAGCGAACCAATGTAGTTCGCTGCCAGGGGAAGCGAACTAGAGTTTTTGTTGGCTATAAAAGAACTAATGTTGTTCGCGGAAAAGGGAATTGAACTAGTGGCCATAATTCTTGTTGTCGCTTTCGCCCAACATGCTTCAGGATAGGGTGTAGAGATAGGTATTCTTAGTGCTAGTTGATCGTTGTGGTCTAAGCGAACCACACCCCAGTTGAACAAAACTAAATATCTAAATCCCAGCCCCCTCTTATGTTGGCATTCTTCATTCATCTTTATTTTTGTGAAACAGAAACAACAAAGAAGCATCAAGAGGACCAAAAATCCAACTAAGAAGGAGGTTTATTGAGCTTCTGTTATTTTAAGGTATGTTTTTAGTTATGCCGGTTGTAGCATAGCTTTCATTAGGCTTTGAATGTATGTTGAATGTTGATTAGGATTTTGGATTAATGCTTGGTTGTTATATTCAGATTAAGTCCTCGTTGAATTGTGTGTAATTTATGATATTATAAATTGCAGAAACGAGAAGGAAGTTTCGAAATTGACCTATCCATCCTGTGGAATGGTCGAGTGACAAAATTGCAGAATAGTGTTGATAACGAAGGTAGTGAGACAAACACTGTTTGAATTGAGAGCACATTTAATTGGGAGGATTTCTTCAATATTTGTGAAGAAAGCTGTTGCGCAGGTGGTCATAAAAGAGTATGCAAGATGACATACCAGTTGCTGGTTTACAGCGAGTATGAACTTGTGTACGAAGAATCAATCATGTCTGATGATGATGAGATTAATACGATGCTAACGTTCATAGTGGAAAACAAACTTTGACTTGCCGAGGTGTAAATCAAGACGAAAGAGGTGGATGAGTATGGTGGTGAAGGTTACACCGAATATGGTGAAGTTTCAAGTGGAGTTTATGGTTTAGGGGGGCTTTGGAGTTTTGGATGGCGTAAAATGGCGAAGATATGATGCTCGTGTTGCACATGGTCCATCGGTTGAATATGATGGACATTAATGGCCGGTATGGGGCGAAGAATGGGCCAACATTAGAGCATACACACAAGCATGGGTCATGAATGATGATCACTATGATAAGCTAAGTCCTCCTTAACAAGTGAGACAAGTGACATGTAAGATTTGGATTAAGTGAGTAGTGAAGATGACGAAGATGTTGACGTTTTTTTTTTTTTTGAAAAAGATGTTGATGTTGGTGAGGGGAAATTTTAGCCCCCCCTATCGAGGTAAGTGTTTCACGAAAAATGCTGTAATCTGAAGTAGAACACGATGGGAAG